AAAACAAAAAACGTTTACAACTGTATATTGGTAACATAGTCTCACACTAGAATCAATGACAAAATGGCAATCTTCCACTCAATGCTGTTTCAAGTGTCCCTGACAGTAACTAGCTAGATACTGCAGCAAGCTAAACCTAGTCTCACACTAGAATCAGTATCCCAGGCTATGTCCCTCTCCCACACAGGAAAAGCAAGGGTAAAACACCCAGTATCACTGCGGGTCTGTCTTCTGTAGCCGCAGTCAAAGTGTCTGGAAAATCCTGCTTGGAAGTATAGATTGCTTTATTGTGCATCCTTTTTTTTTTTTACTGGCCTGTTGTCAATTGATCTGTTATTAAAATCAACACATCACTGGCTGTGCCCTTACCACCAAGAGATACAGCCCACATGATTGCCCCTACCAAAGTAAAAAAACAAAGAAGCCTTGTTGGCGAAACGCGTTTGTGGATATTTATACTCTATATTTTATTTCATTAAAGATTTTTTGGTCACTTACTATTGTGCCAATCATCTATTGATACACTGTATATATATTTTTTCATTTTTACCTGGCATTTTATCATTCTGGACTCCAAGTAATTCTGAGGTGGGGATCATACCACCAACGCTGTTGTGAAGGAGCAGTTTGCCTGCTCCACTCTTGTGAGTACCTTTTTATGTATTTTATTTACACTGTTTTATCCAGTGAACACTATTGGTCATCTCTCTCTGTTTTATTTGAGTGTTGAACATACCTTTGCAAGAAGAAGCCTGCACCATATCACATAAGCGGGGATTATACCGCTGTACGCTTTTCATACTAGAGCTAGCTATAGCTCTAATACATGTGAGTGCATTACCATCTTCTTTTATTATCTGTTGAACCATATTGGACATACTACACTATTTGGTTTTTTATCTGTTTTATCTTTTCATAATACCGGATTCCCTTGTGGAAGGACAGCGAGGACATTGTTCCTGAACAAGCACTTTATAGACAATCTGATCTAAAGAAGATCTGTTCAGCTAAGACTTTTATATTTAAATCCCATTTTATTATATTTTATTGGTCTATTTTGGCGCAACCTTTATCTTTATTTTTATCAGCATACAAATGACAGGAAGTTAAGGGGGAGGGGATTACTGCTTTTAATATTTTGTTTAAAATCAAGCATTTTCCTTGAGTTTACATCAAGTCCCTGGATATTTTATTTTATCATCTGGTTTCCTGCTCTTATTGTATATCCTAGGTCAGGATAAATCCATCAATGCTCCATAACAATTGATCTGGTATGTGTAAGTAGGGTTATTTATATTGGTTTTACCTTTTTACTACATATTGTACTATTTCCCTTTTCTTTTCATTTACATACTTCTCTACCTCTGATGCTGAGAAAATTGATCCTTACTGTCTTCAACACATATCCATAGACCGGTATTGTACCATACATGCCAATACCAGCAGAGCTCTTTGCGACTCTCTGAATTGTGAGTGTAGCTTGGGCATTTGCTTTTAATTTGTGCTTACTTTATGTTACATTTTGCACTATTATTTTCTCTGTTTTTCTTTTTTATCGATATACATTCTCTTTACGTACTGATATCACTATATGTATGTGTGTATTCCTATATGCTTTCTTTTTAATACAACACTTCTCAGTTAGCTCCAGCCTCTCTTAAATTTGCAGTTCTCCACTGTTTTTCCTTATCAGCATACAAGTAAATGAAAATTTTGGAAAGGGTACTTTATTCTTTGTTGACTTCCCCCTATTTCCCCTCTATGTATCACACTTACTCCCCTATTACTCTATTATTTTCAAAATATATTTCTGAAGCTCAGTGAGCCTCCTTCCACTTGTCTATTCATTCCCCTTTTTCCTTTGCATTCCCTGAATATATTTTTATTCATTATCTAACATCTTCTCTATGCTCTTTCTGCCCTTTTCTTATGTTTCCCAAATCCATTTCCTTCTTTAAATTAAAGTGCCACCCATCTGTATGTTAAATTTAATGCTAATTACCGGTAATCATTTAATCCTCTGATCATGCATCTATTGAGTTTTCTCTGTACATACTGCAGGGCAGCTCTATTCCTGTACTTCAAACCAGTACGATTAAGTGATCTGTGTACAGACAAAGATAGTGAATCGTGAAAAGCTTAGGTTGGGAGGGGTCGAATGTAGCCTGGAATAAGTCTTTTATTACAGAGCCTGCAAAGCAGATCACATTGTGCACTTCACTCCAGCTTGATTTGCATATGGTGATAAATGAGAAGGCAGATATTTAAATAATGTTTCTGAAGATACAAATGTTATTTTTTAATTACTTGCTATTTTTGATGGTTGATTGACATATTGAACCTCATTTGATTTTCATACATTGTGTGCACCACAGCAAGGAATAAAAAACACATAATTTTTTGGAGAATAGTGTATTCTCCAGCACTGTATATGCCATGCTTGAACTGATCTCATTCCTCCTGATTTAATCTTCTCTTCCACTAGCCTTTGTGTTCAGGCTCCTCCCATAGTCTGCTTTAGTCAGACAGTATCTATGGTTACCAAACGGCTAATCTCCTGGGGCACAAACAGAAATTGGTGCATTCCCTATAAATAGAGGGTGCTGAAAAGGTGCTGCTTACCATAAAGCCATTTACTGTATTTTTTTATTTTTTTTTGGTATCAGTTAATTTTTGTATTTACTCTTCTCTTATATATATATAAAATGTATAGTCTGAATTCAATAACATAGAATAATATAGATAGTTATGATAACTGTATTTACGAAACCTAACATACAGTACAATTTGAAATGAGCAATATTCAATTTAGAATTGATTTTAAAAATAGGCCTTTTTCAATTGTGTTTAGTTAAAATGGCTTTTTCTGAAGGCTCACAAAAGTATATCCTGATCTCACCGATAGTATGCCATAAAAAATAAAAAAAAACATAATTTTTTTTTCTATTATGTCAGAACTGTGCCAGCCACATGTTGTATAGAAATGTAGTCAACACAGTTTAGATAAGTGTTAATAACATATACAGTGAAAAAGTAAAATGTATGACAAAGAAAAAAAACCTGTAAGAGATTGGTAACCTAGCAACAGGTCATGCGTCAGGAGTAACACGTCTCTAGAGTGCACACAAATGCTATGGAGCATTACTGAAAGCATAGTGGAGTCACAGAATGGCTTCCAGGCTTCCATAGAGTGTTCTCGTTAATTATTTAACAACCTTGCAAAACAAAATTAATAAAGGGATAAAAAAATGATGGCTAGTAAATTAATTGCTGTTTTAGTACCCAGGTTGCGTGCTAAATCGGGTTCCCACATATTCTCTGTATAAATTGTATATTTTTTAACTATACCTTATTTTTTTAGAGAGGCATAATGAAATTACATTTGTAATAGAATAAAAAAGGTTAAATAGTTATGCAAATTCTTTGAAGCATTGTATTATTTCTCATCTATCTGTTTCCACAATCCTTATTTGTTATTATGCAAAGCATTTTGCAGCTCACAGTAGAAAGTAATGTGTAAATGGTGATTATTTCTAGCGAGGTAATGCTATTGTTGCAAGGATATTTCACAAGGTCACACACCCTCTTGCACCAGAAATTCTAAAAAAAAAACAAACCCCACTGTGTAGAATAGATTTACCATCACTACTTTAACCCCTTAAGGATACAGCTTCTGAAATGAAAGGGAATCATGACGGAATATTTCCGTCATGTGTCCTTAAAGGGTTAATTGTAACTCAGTGCATAACAATGCTTATTATGGAATATCGTGACCACACTTTATTTCCCTTACTGTGACATAGCCATGTACAAGATAGGTAGCAAATTGCAAAGTCAAAAGTAGGCTAATATCTAGAGAATCAGTATTGTTTCATAGTTGGCAAACAGACTTGGGTGTGGATTCTCCGATCGGAGCACTATTTAGGCCAACATGAGCTCTTTTTTGAGATTTATACAGGGATGAATAACTGCCCAGGAAAAGGGGTTATTGGGGGACATTTTGTACATTTTAACCCCATATTTTTGGAAAGCCACAGCAGGGAGCCTATTTTGTTAGCTTGGGATGTTGCAATCAAGACCCCAGACTGAGTGTGCCAGCGTGGGACTATCGTAAAAGCCATTGCATTGCATGGATGACCCCCTGGTGTGGGAATCCATATTTCTATGTATAAATTGTTGTGTGTGTTCAATAAAGGTGCATTCTACTCCCCTACATTCAGTCTGGGCTAATGTGTGGGGAAAAGGTATCTATAATCACTGCTGTGTTGAATGAGAAGAGCCTCCTCAGAAGATTCTGATTCCTCTAAGCAAGGAATTGTGAGAGGCCCACAACAGCCATGAAAGTATGGGATTGACTCATGTCCTCCTGTAAGGTTTGCACCCTTTTATACAGATGTCCAATTTAATTTTTTATACCGCCAAGTTTGCTGTGAAACATAGCTTAAAGTCCCAAAACAAGGGTGGTAGGGCCTGACTGTCATGCCAGACGGACATGGTATGCAAGAGCTTCTGGTTGATCTCGACATTTTAGCTGCAAGACTGCTGTTTTACATTGTATATAGGAAAGATAAACCTACACCAATATGAAATAATGTGTAAGTGAAAAATAATTACTTATCCAATACAAATGAAAAACAGATTCCTCTCAGGATATTCCAAACAGTATCCTATACATCAAATGTCGCCAAACAGAATATAGAGGATACAGCTGATAATCTACAAAAAATAAAACAATATAATAGTGTAATACAGTTAGAATTTGGTTACTGTGTGCTAAATTCAATTGCACTCACAAAATGGAGACTTTAAAAATCGCCTTAGGGTGTCTCCCCTTTGATGATTGGGGGGCTGGTCCACAATTCCCCCTCAGTTTTGGATGTCACCACAGTATGGAAAGCCAGACTCTGGAAGTAGTGGAAAATATAAACTGATTTATTATATATATAAAAAGTGGGACGCTTGCGTTCCACCATGGTACGCACACTATGTGCAAGTGAAGAATCAAGACATGTAATGTCAAAACACCTGGAAGCCACACATCGTTTCAGCATGGAACGCATGCGAGTCTCACGAGACACAGGTGGACGCAATTAGTTCATTAACAGAACATATTTGTACGGAGAATGCAGAAGATTGAGCAGAGAAAGTCCCTGAGAAAGTCCGTAGGATGAAACGTGTTGAATAGAGAATTCACGAACTTGGGTCTTTTCATTCTGTTTTATTGTTTTTATTTTTATGTTTGGTTTTTATTTTTATGGGATATTCTCACTTGCCTTTGAGAGTTTGTGATGAGCCTGAATCATATATATTTCCTGTAGCGTGTTCACTCACCTGGTTACCTATATTACATCATGTTCAGTTTGTTCTTTTAATAATTATCCTTGGATATTATATCTTCTCTTGATCAAGGTTGTATTTTGGATTTGTTTTTTCCACTTTAGAGGTGTCACCTTTGAGTATCAGAAATCATACATGTTTGTACGTTTTCTATTTTATTGTAATGTGACATTCAGCATATCGATATTTTAGAGCAAAGTGACATGTCTATTTCTTGCACTTACCACTCAACAAAAACAAATAAATATATAAAAAAACAAGGCCTTGATGTCCCATTTAATGAAAGATGTAGTGCCATCATCCGATTCCAATGATTGGTACCAAGAGGATTGAGGCTGATGGCCCTCAGCTTCATCTTTTGAGTCCTACAAGTATGAGGAAGAAAAAGAAGGCTCAGTCTGTGCTATTTTGGAGGGTTCCATCTGTGGCCTGCAAGAAAAGTAAGTGGGGTGCTTAAGGAGATGAGCCTTACCAGTTTTCTTAGATTTCTGACCCATTCTGGTTCTGGAAGAGTAAGAGAGATAGTATAAATTGGAAATTGGTGACAGAGCAGGCAAATAAAAATACAATGAGGCATGCAATGGAGGAGTTAAGGTCTCATGTGTCCTGCTCCTAGCTCAGTGAGTTATGCACCCTAACTTTTATTTTTTAAGAGGAAAGTGTTAGGGGCATGTTCCAGACTTACACCTTAACTTTTTTTCTAACTCATAGTCATTGTAAATGAGATAGAGATTTCATATATATATATATATATATATATATATATATATATATATATATATTAAGGGATTACATTTTAAGGAATGAGATATTTAGGGGATTACTGTAGATGAAAAAAAACAATTAACAAAGGGGATTTTTTAATATATTTGTAATTTATTTTTATTTTTTTATCATAGGGGAAGTTGTGTCATTATAAAAAATGGACAATGGGGACTAGAATTACTCAGAATTACAACGAGGGAAGGAGAGATATTGAGTTCATATTGGCTACAGAAAAGCTCAGTAACAAAGTTGTACTTACTCCCATAGCTCTATATTACTCACTAATTTAGGGGAGGGATATTCTATTTAGGGGAGTAGGCTCATACACTTAACTCCAAACCACCCTCAAATTCTGTGAACATAAGGGACACTTGAAGGTCTTAAAAATGGATTAACCATGTGGTCAATGAGTTACACAGTGACCAAGGGGTTAATTATTTTTTTAGGTAGCACTTAGGAGAAATAAACAATATGGGAGAGTACAGACTGACTATACATTTCAGGACAAGTGTCCCTTGTCGCTTGTTGAGAGATGTCAGAAAATGTCTGATACTGTAAACTACACTTTTGGAACTGTAAGTATCAACAGTTAATTGGAAATATGGAAATGCATATTGGCAAGCGGTAATCTCAGAACTCTGATGGACTGTCACTTATACACTATGGACAGTTATTGTGTCTGTCCCAGTACATACATTTCATGAAAAGGGAACTCTAGGCTAGAACTGACCTATTATTTTAATGTATTATATAGATTAAATTTTTGTACAAAACAGGAAGTTAAAAATTTCAATACCAATAATCTACTGAGATCCACCGTCCTATCCTAGATAGCTATAAAGAATTTTTTTTTTTTTACATCTGTCAAGCTCTGATTGTGGTGGGGTTTTTTTTTCTTCAAGACACAATTGCCACTAGAATTCGTTCTACCTTGCTGTAATCGTCATTTAAATTGTATTGCATTACTTTTGTACAGAACATTACAGAATGATTTTAAAAGTATTAGAATAACAATAAGTAGCCTAATCATTACATTGTACTTAACTTGCGTGGGTGCCTGAAATGCTCCATTAAGTTTTTATATAGTTTTTGATATATGTTTGTTTTCAAAGGGTATATGAATGCAATTTTAACTTGGTTGCGTCATTTGGGTGTATTGTGTGCAATGATTCTTGCCTTTGGACAGAATGGAGGAAGTATTTTTTAAAGTCACTCCCTCTCAATCTAAACCAAGCTGTTGATCGTTTCTGTGAATAAGAGTTGATGCACTTTTTTGTTTTGTACAGTACATTAAAAACGGTAACTAGTGATATTTTGTGTTCCCACTAAAGATTAAGGCAGGACTTAAATCTTAAGTCTTATGCTACTAGCCAAGTCTTAAAAAAGTTACTAGACACTGTAAGTCATCAGGGGTAAATGTCTATCTGCCAAGTCTAAATTTTCACTCGCTAATGGCTAGTGGCAATTGGAAATTTTGATCCCTGATTAAGGTATAGGTAGAATCCATGCATTATTATTCTGTATTATTCTGGTTCATTAACTAGCTCTGGGGAATGTGGAAACAAATGGTGAGAATGACGTAAAAACCCCTGGGAAACAGGTAGGAGAATTACAACTGGAAGGGGACCCAGGGGTAGAGGGAAAGTCCCTTAAATGAGGGAAAGTCCCTTAAATGAGGGAAAGGAGGGAAGACCCCAGAGGAGAGGGGTAGGAGGTAGCCCCACAGAAATGGAGATCAAAGATGAGTAAAATCAATACAAGTAGACAGTAAAACAATATGAAGGACAGAGAGAGAAAACCAAATCTGTACTTATCTCTTGGATGGAGCAGCAAAGAAAGAGGAAATTATGTAATATGACACACCTCTCATATACTGGATTGTAATTGGTTCTCAGTTTTGTCACTCTTTTCTTTGCTGCTATGGAGTTAATAAAGAAATATTATGCAAAATACGAAGCCTCCTGTCATGTGATAAAATTGGAAATTTTGATCCCTGATTAAGGTATAGGTAGAATCCATGCATTATTATTATTCTGTATTATTCTGGTTCATTAACTAGTAAGTACCACAAGTAGTATAAGTACAATACTATAAGCATTACATTATATAAGCTCTAAGTATTTCCTTGTTGTGGGGTTATCATGGACTAACATAACTTTTATGCCATCGCAGTAAAGTCACCATTAATATAATGTTAAATTAACATATTAACATGTAAACAATACACAAAACAACTCCCGCCATGCTTAACATTTAGCTTTATATAACTTTTAAAATTTACAAAAAATCATTATAATATATATTCTTTTAAACAGAAAGGGTTAATCCACAAATAATTATTTAGATAATTGTAACTCATATGCCTGTTTGGCCATGGACAGCACATTCATAAATATACATTCACAGCTTTGGTTCAACAAATAGAATAATATTATAAGGTGTAACATATTTGGGTTATTAAAAGTGCACCACTATTAACTCTTTAACACACAAAAAATCCACCAAAAGATCAAACTGACTAGTTCTGACTGAAAATGAAAGTTCTTAATATTGCTTTCTCCTGTCATTTTATAAAAAAGGTTTTTTTTACCCTAAAAAAATTGAATAAAATCATGATTTCCTGGACGGGTAGACTCAATGTCTTAAACATGAATGTCCTCCCCAGACTCCTGTACATGATCACAGCCCTCCCAATACACATACCTAACAAGTTCTTTCGGGCCATCAACTCCATTTGCTTGGAGTTTGTATGGATGGGGTTTAGACCTCGACTAAACCAGACAGTCATGGGTAGACCCCATAACAGGGGAGGATTTGACTACCCCGACGCATGAAAATACTATATAGCCAATGCCCTGAAGAGAATACGAGAGTGGACCTCCACAAATATTAGTAAGCCATGTAAATCAGTAGAGGAAGGCTTTCTGACTGTCCCATTAGAGACTCTACCATGGCTCATGTTCGACCCCCATACTTTAATACCCACTACAGGCAACTATTCAAGCATAATATCGGTACTTGCATTGTTCCTGATTGATGTGCTGTACACTGCCATTGATATGCCTTATGATCTATGATCAGCCTGAACCACATTGCACCATCTGTTTATTCAATAAACTTAAAAATAAATAAATGATTTAACATTTTTTCTGTTATTCAATTTTTTTAAAACACCCAACCTTTTGTGTTCTGGTTCTGTTCTATCTCCTTGTTGTGAAGGAGGCTTAGAATTTAGCTAAACATTTGGGAAACCTTTGGCTTGTTTCCAACCTTGTCACTAAATAAAAAATATATCTGCTGTAAGCTGTTGTTCATAACAACAGCCGATTAACAGCCACAAATAAATGAGCCACAGAAGGCTCATCCATAGCGACACTAGGGCATTGCCCCACCAGATAATTGTTATTATAATATAATAGACATGTGCAATTCGTTTAGTTCTGAATTTGAATCCGGAAGAATTTTAGACAATTCGGACATTCAGATGCTTCCGAATGTCTGAAGTGCCGGATTTGCGAAGTGTCGAATTTCTAAAGTGCCGAACCGAATTGCTGAACTGCCAAATTTCCAAAGTGTTTCAGACTTCTGAAAAGTGGCAAAACAAGAGAGGGAGGGAAAATTAAGTAAAAGATGACAGGGGTAGGAGTACGGTTAGAGGTAGGGTTAGTGGTAGAGTTATGGGTAGCGTTAAGGGTAGGGGTAGGGTTAGGGAGCCTTACAGATGTTCCAAATTCTGAATTGCCGAAGTCCTGAATTGCCGAAAGTCGTGAATTGCCAAAGTTCCGAATTGCCAAAGTTCCGAATTTCGGAAGTGCCGAACCGAAGTGCCAAAGTACTGAATTACCGAAGGGCCAATTTTTTTTACTTACCCGAATTAACGAACCGAAACAATTTTTTTGCCCATGTACATCCCTATAATATAATATATATATATATATATATATATATATATATATAACCTCCAAGAAAAAAGCTAGCACTCAAGGACTTCAACAAAAATGTAGGCATTTAATCCAAATAGTCAACGTTTCAGTTCCAGTTGTGAACTTTCCTACATTTTTGTTGAAGTCCTTGAGTGCTAGCTTTTTTCTTGGAGGTTGTATTTAAACATTTGAACATAAACCAAAGCGCACTGCACTGCTATTGTTTCCTCTCCCATTCTTCCATTACAGCACAAACTGACTCACTTATAACAAATGATGGCTCACTGGATAAGCTGTTACGAGCAATTGGGCATCTGTAGATTTTTGGTCGTTTTTGTAGTCTGCCCAATTATAATGCAGGTGAGAAGAAAAGGAAAGAAGGGAAACTGCTAGATAACATTTACACTGAGTTTAGTTATTTAGAACATATTAATAAATAAAGTCAGCTATTGGCACTATAAAACTTTTTAGCACCTGCAAATTAAAGTAAGGGAGTGAGCCATATTGTAGATGTAAATCTCAAACTAAATATATAAAACAGTAGTGGTGCACTGCCAGTAAGAAAGCAGGTCAATTGCTTACAATGCAAATAATGGAAATCTAATACTGAGAACAGTATACATATTGTCCATAATAACAAGATTCTAGTAGATCCAGTTAAAACTGTTTGCATTTTGTGAAATAATATTCACAGCAAAACTACTAACAATTAACCACTTGTGAAGCGAGGCTGAGTTTCCAAGTAGAAGTGTGACCTATTTCCTCCATGTATAGCTGGGAGCTATAGTGTTATATTACCTGGTTTGCTGGTCTATACATCTATCCCAAGTTAAAAAATCTTAAGCTGGACATGGGATAGAAAAAGAGGCATTTTCTTAAACCTTAACATAAACTGAGTTGGGAAGATAGCACTTAGGGTTAGACATGTGCACAAGTGAAATTTTCATTTCATACAAATTTGTACTAAATAAAAATGTAATTTGTCCATTCCGAATTTCGTTCAAAAACCATTAGTTTTTCGTATGAAATTCGTTAAAAATAATTTGTTTTTGGACAAAAATACCACTGTGAATGCGCAAAATAAAGCAGGGAGGGAGCTGACAGCACTACCAGTTCCCTCCTTGTAATAATTAATATTAATTCCAACCACCCCCACATTAAAACTTATGGGGGTCCCTATGACCCCCATATTAATAAAAGGGAGGTTAAATCCTTCCGCATACCCCTACTTACAGCAAGCAGCCAGTCGCAAGTGCAATAAGGGGGGTCCTGGCACAGGTCCCCCCGGAACCCAAATAACTAAAATGGGGGGGACCTAATGCCCCACCCAGGTCCCCACCCATGACTGGTGGGTGGAGACCTAAAATAATTAAATAAAGGGACACACACCAAATGTCCTATTGTCTCCCCCGGCCCTCAATATAAAAATTACCTCCCACCCACAAGTGACAAGGGGTTCCTAAACCCCTAGTCATCCGCCTCCCCAATAAAATTAAATCCTTCCTACCTCATCACCCTAAAAATAATGGGGAACAAAAAACTAAATACCTGTAAATAAAAAAAAATTATACTTACCATTAGATGTCTTCTTTTTTCTTAAACCTTTTTTTCAGCCCCAAAAAAGGCCAAATAAAAATCCATAATTCCCGTCAAACTTTGAAAATAAAATAAAAACCGGAGCGCCAAAAAAAAAAAAAAAAGCACACCGAAAAATTAAAAACCAGACGCCCCCCAAAAAATCCATCTTCACCCAGCAAAGGGCACCGCGTAGACTGAGCTCTGCAGGGCGGGAAAATACTTATAAAGCCTTCCCACATCCTGCAATTTGACTCAGAGCACTCTGATAGGTTGATTCCACGCTAACCAATCAGAGTGCTCTGACAGGTAAATGAAGAGACTGACAGGTAAGTCTCTACATTTACCTGTCACAGCACTCTGATTGGTTGGCTTGGAATCCAATCAATTACTGTGTTCTGAGTCATTTTAAACAGTGTGGGAAAGTTCTTTGCTGTGTAAAATAACACAAGCCAACCAATCAGAGTGCTCTGAGTCCTTTTACACAGCATGGGCCTCATTTTATTAGGCCTTTTTGGGGGCTGAAAAAAGAAGATTTAAGAAAAAAGAAGACATCTAATGGTAAGTATAAAAAAAAATATTTACAGGTATTTCTTTTTTTGTCCCCCTCACTAATTTTAAGGTGAGGGGGTAGGTAGAATTTAATTTTATTGGGGAGTGGGGTGACTAGGGGTTTGGGGACCCCTAGTCCATTGTGGGGGGGAGATATTTTTTATATTTAGCCCCCACCACTCATGGGTGGGGGCCGGTGGGGAGACAATAGGTCCCACTAATTGATACGTAGGGCCCCCATCCACCGCTCATGGGTGGGGGTCGGCGGGGACAATAGGTCCCCCCTTATTGTCATTTAGGGCCCCCACCAGCCGCTAATGGGTGGGGGCAGTGGGGGGAGGGCAGTAGACCCACCCCTATTGTCTGTTAGGGTCCCCACTCACTGCTCATGGGTGAAGACCAGAGGGAGACATTAGGTCCCCCCTCTTTATTTAATTAGGGTCCCCATCCTATTTATTACAAGGAGGGAGCTGGTAGTGCTGCCAACTCCCTTCATACTTTTTTTTTGCGCATGCGCAGTGGTATTTTCGTCAAGCACAGGTTAAGTCACTTAACCCGTGCTTGTAAGAGTCTCCTTGCAGGCCTGCACAGGTTAAGTCTCAGGCTGCAGGGAGAACCAGCATTTTTTGTTTCTCCTCCGTGCTGTGGGGGTTAATTCTCCTGCAGCATGGAATGTATTAAATGAAAAAACTGAAATGAAAAGGTAATGGATTCGGCATTTGCCCTTTCGTTTAGTTTATTTTTCATATGTAGGACTTTTGTTTACATTTTAGTAAATGAATACAAAAAAAGTCAG